CGTCTCCTCTCTGCCATCGGGAAGTCGGACAAAAGCATAATCTGGGTTGCAATCAAGTAGCTCAACTTCTTCAACCAATGGTTCATATTTCGATTGACGTGAAGCACGCTTCATGAGTACCCGACCAGGCTCGGATAGCCACGTAGGAAGGGATGTGCCAGTAGTTGACTTTCGGTTGAATCGAAATAAGCGCTCGTGTGGAGTTTCGTTGGTGGCTGTGCACAGCAACGATCGGATAGAGTGAAGAGCATCTAAGAGGACCGACTCCCACTGTCCGATATCCAGGTTTTTTGAAGATAGTGAAAGCGTAATAGCGCGCCATAAAGTTACATTGGGACGCTCAACCTGCCCATTGCCTTGCGGGTTATAAGCGGTAGTCCTACTGGTGGATATTCCTTTATCGTGCAGGAACTTTCTTACTTCTTCGGACACAAAAGAAGGACCGCGGTCAGAGTGTATATAAGATGGCATTCCGAACAAAGCAAACAGCTGAGTGAGGCATCCGATCACTGTTGCAGAAGTCATATCAGAGCAGGCAAACGCGAAGGGAAACCGAGAGTATTCGTCAATCACAGTCAGGAGATACTTGTTTCTTGACGTAGATGGAAGTGGTCCTTTGAAATCAATGCTCAACCGTTCAAACGGTTGTGTAGCTTTAACGAGTCGACCAACAGGGGGTCTATAGAACCTAGGTTTGATTTCGGCGCAAGCTTTGCATTGTGAGCTCATCGTCCTGACATCGTCCAAGGAAAATGGAAGGTTACGAGAACGGATAAAATGCATCATACGAGAAACGCCAGGGTGGCACATTGACTTGTGTAGTTCGTTAAGTTCCGTACCACTCAGAGACGCTGAACAATGAATTCTGGAGAGCGTGTCGGCTGCTTTATTTCCGCTTCCCGGTCTATACATTATATCGAACCGATAACTTGATAGTTCCAAACGCCAACATTGGATTTTATCATTCTTAATTTTTCCTTTGTTATTGTCACCGTACATGAATGTCACTGATCGCTGGTCAGTTACTATCGTAAATGGATTGCCAAGGAGGAAATGACGCCATTTTCGCACTGCTTCGACTATAGCGCAGGCCTCTTTTTCGACGGCGGAGTGGTGTTTTTCGCTGTGAGATGGCGTTCGGGAGAAGAATGCTACTGGTTTGCCGTTTTGATTCAAGGTAGCGGCGATTGCAATGTCAGATGCATCTGTTTCGACTACCAATGGTACACCGGGTGTGATAGGCACGACTGTAGATCGTTCTACTTCTTTTTTGAGTTGTTCGAAACAGTTCATTACCGATTCGGGCAGCGGGAAGGTTTCATTGTGAATCAATGGATAGATTTTATCGGAAAATTTTGGAATTTATTTCGAATAATATGCAAACATTCCTACTAGGCGCTGTTGTGACTTGGAATCATGCGGTGGCATCAACTCGGCCAAAGGTCGTAGTCGCTCCGGGTCAGGTTTGATAATGCCCTTGGATATTTCGTAACCGAGCAAGGTGATTTTCTTAACAGCAAAAATGCTTTTTGTGTCGTTAAAAGTGATGCCGCAATTTTTGGCTACCGTCAGGAAGTGTTTAAGATTTGCGTCATGTTCCTCTTTGCTTCTACCGCACACCGTAACGTTGTCAACATATGCAAAGGTATCTGCAACTCCTTCCCGTTTCAGAAAACTGTCGATGGCTCGTTGAAAGCAGGCGACGCCGTTGGTAACACCGAAGGGAATACGGCAAAACTCGTAAAGTTTTCCACCAGCTTCAAAGGCAGTGTATTTACGTTCTCCCTCGTTGATTGGTATTTGATGGTAAGCACTCTCCAAATCTAGAGTACTATACACATCGAAACGAGCGATTTTATCGATGAGGTCATCGATCCTTGGAAGCGGGTAGGCATCAAGATAGGTAAATCGATTGATAGTTTGGCTATAATCCACAACCATACGCTTCTTATGTCCGCTCGTAGTTACTAACACTTGCGCTCGCCACGGCGACCTCGAAGGCTGGATAATGCCATCTGCCAGAAGTCTTTTGATTTCAGATTGAATGAAAGTTTCATCGGATTCGCTATGGCGTCTAGATTTTGTAACAATCGGCTGGCAATTTGGAGCAAGGTGCTCAAACAGGGGGAACGGTTCCACACGGGCCGCCATTAGGCCACAAATAGTAAAAGGAGGTCTGGATCCATGAAACGATATCTCAATTTTACGATGATATTTGAGGAAGTTGTGACCAAGTAATACGTCAGAGCAAAGGTTAGATAAAACGGATAGTTTCACATTGGAATAACAGGTGTCTTTGTGTCGAATAGAGCAAATAATATGTCCTTGGGTGAAACTAGAATGAGTAGTGGAGGCCATAACGATGTGCTCCCGAGAGGTTTAGATATGAAATTTGTTAAGTTTTACAACTTAAGCGGAAATGTAGCTTTCAGAACTCCCAGTATCGACAAGGGCTTGCAGCGGTATGTCATTCACAAAGATGTTAGTAACGGCACTGCAAAGGCTGGCGGGCGCGGCAGCAGACGTCACAGAAGATAAAACCGACCTAGAAACATTCGAGCCGTGATTTGTGCTTGGCCTGGATTTGCAAATGCTCTGGAAATGGCCTTTCTTTGTACACTTTTTACATGTCGCATCTCTGGCGGGACATCTTGATCTAGGATGTTTGGCGTAGCCGCAAAAGAAACACGTTGACTGTGAGGACGCAGCGACAGGTTCTTCTTGAGAAGATAGCTGCGGCTCAGATGGGATTTCAGTTTTCATCGTGGAGTTACAAGTCATCAGCTGAAAGGAAGCGGCTTGTTTTTGGGCCAAGTCAAGCGATCTAGCCATCTCGAAAGCGGACTGAAGATCGAGTGATTTTTGTTCCAATAATCTCTGCCTGATGAGGTTAGATTGTAGACCGCTGATAAAAGCACCTCTGATAGCTTGATTCCTGTGTTCGTCGGCAGTGGCTGGTAGAAAATTACAGTCACTAGCGGCGGAATTTAACTTCTGAATGAATTGGTCTAACGATTCACCGTTTTCTTGCCTGGCAGTGGCTAGGATGTGATGTGCAAAAATTTCGTTTCTGGGTTCTATGAAGATATCTTGTAGCGTTTTGACGGCATCCTCATAAGAAGAGCACTGAAAAACCACCTCGAACAGGGCAGATGAGATATAATTCATTAACCTTTTGAGCTTGTCCGGCTTCATGGACTCGATCGATTCTAAAAAAATTGTTGGAAGTGTAGATCCAATGGGCCCAGCGTTTGCCGGCGTCAGAAGATTGAGGATCCACATCAAAGCGATCTGGGCGTAAGATTCGATCCATGAGATTGTTGTATTAATCGAGTAAATTGTAATGAACACGGATTATTCCAGGAATGAAGGAAGAAGACAAAAGCCGATAAGGAGGCTTTACTCGATTAATAATTCGGACGTATGAGCTATAAAAACAGAAACATGTATTAGAACGGTAAATATGCCAAAGCATGGAATACGGCAAAATCAAAATCAAAAACACATAACACCCTTCGTCTGAAAGGCCGGGTATACAAGGCCACAGTGAGGGCCGTTCTGCTCTATGGTAGTGAGACTTGGCCCCTTCGGTCTGAAGATCTGAGGCGCCTTCAAGTCTTTGATCATCGTTGTTTGCGAAGCATTGCTGGAGTCGGATGGCACCAGCGTGTCCGCAACGATGATGTGCGTAGACGAGTACTAGGTGGTGATAATCATGCTAGCTCCCTAGAACAACAGATAGCACTGAATAAGTTGCCTTGACTCGGGCGCGTGCTACGTATGTCTGGTCACCGCTTACCTAAGAGGGCTTTGTTCAGTCTGCCAGGTGTAGGGTGGTGCAAGGCTCGAGGTGGACAGAAGTTGACTTGGCAGCGGGAAATGAAGTCACTGACGACCAAACTGGGTGCCGTTGGTCCGTCTCGCCTTCCGGGTTGGAGTCCACGTGACTCACCTTGTTTTTGGCTCGAGACTTAGCAGGACATGGCTCGCAGTAGACACCAGTGGCGCGTCTGCTGCCGTCTTCTAATCGGATTGCCTGTTTAAAGTGTGTGTGGTGCTGAGTTATCTGCGGGATAATGGCTGATTATGACGCGAGGCAGTGAAAGCCGCAAGGAAGCTGTCTCGCTGATGCCGCCTTATCTTTGCATGATAACCAGCTGTTTGTGACGGTATGTTGTCTACACAAGGTGTAGGCGCCTTGACCCTGAATGTTTGCTTAGGGCATTAAGGTTTTCGGGTAAGTCCCCCTTCTCTCCCTCTTCTTGTTCTTTATTTCATAGGTCGTCATGGTTGTATGGCAGCGAAGCATCAGTTCAAATGGCTGATGTACTGCTGTTGATGATGATGATGATTATTATTATTGGTTTTGAGTCCCAGTTGGACGTTCTTGGTTGGTAACACAAAATTTGTACCTTCTCCCGACCACACGAATCTTCCTATTTTGATTTTATTTTGTGCTTTTCTTCATCCATTGGTATTATTTCTCATTGGAAACACTTTTCCTTTCCACTTCCTTCCTACACCCTGCTTACTTCACATGACTGACACAGCGGAGACTACTAGTGTAGGAAACGTGGGCTCGGGTGTTTCGTTATAAATCTTTTCAGTATCTCGGCGCAGCATATTATTTTCTCCGTCAACGACCAACTTAATTAGGAACACTCACGGAATTCTCCTGTCGTCCCAGTCTCATCCTAAACTGAACCCAACCGTTTTTTCTTTCGCCATTGTATCTTGAGACACCTGGCTCCGTTCCGTCTGTGTTCTTCTTTGTGCTGATCAATGATCCAGGAGTTGGTGAGGTGCTCCGAGTTTCTGATACGTCTAAAGTGTTGACGAAGTATCCTTCTGTGTCGACGTTAGGCTTACAAACAGTCTGCTTGAGCCTGTTCGCTGTCTATTACCAAGGATGCAGTACTAAACTTTACATCTGTGTTTTCTTCTGCGCATCGTTCATTTTTTTCTTCAAATACGCTATTTTTGCTTGCTACAAACTTTTAGCCACCCTACTTTCTCCTACGGGCGTCGGTAAGATGCAGGACAGTGTAGAAAAACCTAGTTCGGATTGTGCTCATACGTGCGCCATTTGTCTGCGGAAGTCATTTTACGTTTGTCCCCGATGTGGGATCAATTACTGCTCTCTTGACTGTTACCGTGCGCCGTGTCATAATCAATGTTCGGAATCTTTTTATCGTGACTGCTGCGTGGAGTCGATGCACAATAGTTTTGCAAGCGGAACTGTCCGTACAAGCGTCGCTGACATACTTGCTCGTGAAGCTTCCGCCTGGCGAGATGATTCGTGCATCAGAATAACAACGGATGACGCGGACGATGTCGACGCATCCGATACTGATGTCCAACAAATAAATAGTGATCTTTCTTCTCGGTACGTAACTGCTGTGTGGCGCTTCTCCAGAGCTGTCAACTGTGTATCTTGTTGATGCTAATGTTATTTGTTAATTAATTATGTTATTTCGCTTCCCATATGGATGCTAACGTGGTCTCATCAGTCCATCGTCTCACCTGTCTTTTGTGGTGGCCCTATTCTAGTAAGGTCCTTTGTTTTGTGCTCTGAAATATGGAAAGGAAAGCACCCACTATCATTGCCCTACCTTTTATTTGTCTGATTAGTGGCTATTCCGCGGAGAGATAGGATCTTAACATGCTGCGATGATTTCGGTAAGTGGACCCCATCATTATCAACAGCAGTACATCATTCACTTGAGCTGGTGCTTCGTTGATGTGCAATCACAATAATCTACGGAACAAAGGATAATAAATGGGTGAGATGGGGGGCTATCGTAAAAGGTAATACTTTAAGCAAACATCCAGGGTCAATACGCCTACAGTGACAGGCAAATCCGAAACCGGATGCCGCCAACCATTCCATATAGATAGATCCACAGCCCAAGAAAAGCCCTTTTATTTCACCGTGGCATTTTTGAAATTTTTGACTTTATAAGAGTTGAACTTTGCCATATGTAATTAGTGGGTTTTTCTGTCAGAACGTACCACCCAAAAACAAGGATAAAATGTCAGTCGATTAACTCTCCTTTGTGATAGATTGTTAACGGCGTGTTTTGCTGGTCTTTCAAATCACGCGCCTCATTTCGCATTGGCTCCTTTACCTTCAACAATCAACCCTAACTCTCACTATTAACTAAATTTGTATCTGTATGTGTTGTGTTTCCGTAACACGTACGATAGCAGCTTCGTGATCACTCCTCGGCTGCCTGACACGCCACTTGTAGACATCGACCATACTATGTGCGTCTGTTGCACTGCAGTTATTAGCTCCATATATCTGTCGGGTCCGTATTGCCGGGGATAGGTATGCTGATGGGAATCTACTCGAATGAACACCGTTGCGCTGCAACATGTATACGGTTCTGCTCCGGACATCCATCTAGTCTCATAAGCACCGATTTCCGATAAGGTTTCTTTATTATTTCGATGTAAACCTCAGTCGGCCGCAGCTCAAATGTTATCAGATGCAAAATCTAGATATTTCTCTTCGTTGATGTTTATAACAAAGATTCCAACTACAATGCTCGTTACTGCTGACGCGAATGCCCAAACGAATGGATTACAGAAATCCGAACAGTATCTAGGTGGTCGTGGACGTGGCCGAGAATGGATTAACCATCTTTCTCCGCTATTGACTCACTAGTCGAGGGCTCTTTTGGACTCATGACCCGTGTGAGCTGGTATAGCGTTCTACTGTTTCAAGTAGCACTGCCTTTCCTATTTCTCACTTTCTTTTGCCACCCACCAACGTTCCCGTCAATTCAAAGACTCATTGTCGCTCTTTCTAAAGTGCTTGCGTCGAGTCTGATTGTGCTTTGGTACGTTGTCGTTTTTTCATCAACTTTACCGGGAGGCGTACCATGCGCCTCCCTCGATTGGCTATTGAGAAGTTATCTCAGTCCTCGGTCAAGCAAGTCTATCAGGACGACCTGCGCACCGAACTTTCCTTTACTCGTCCTAACGACACTGGTTCAGTGGATGGGATCTCCGTCACCATGCAGCATGCAGGAGCCTCCGCTTGCGGTACCATCAGTCTTCACCACATCAGTCGCTGGACGTCCGAGAGGACGGTGGACCTTTTTGAATCCAGAAGGAAACTCCTGATTGGATCTGAGCACAATGTAAGTAGGCGGACTATTAGGCGTGAACTAAAGCGGAGCCTGCATGCTGACAAAGGAGCCTGGTGGAATAATAAGGATCAAGAAATGAAGGAGGCGAACACAATAGTAAAATATCGCAAACTCTTCCAAGTGATCCATGCCACTGGTCCCAGGAAACCAGGCGTCAATGAGACACTAAGAGACATCGCGATTGCTCTAATTCACAATAAAAAACATCGTATCACACGTTGGGCTAAGCACTTTCAAGACCAGTTCAGTTGTTCCACTGCCCATGGACCTCTTTTTACTCAGGTGTTGCAGGTTGAGTCATGGTTGGTTAGTTTAGCTGATCCGTCGGAGGTTGAGGTCCGAAACGCGATCACCGCTTTTAATCGTTTTCGTGCTGCTAGCTCAGATTTCCTCGCACCCGCACTATTTAATGATGGGGTGAGGACCTCTGCAAAGCACTGAGTTCCCTGTTCGAACAAATCTGAATGACAGACACTATCGTACCTAACTGGAGTGAATCAAGTAAACTGGCGATCTACAAGAAGGACAGTCGCACCGCCTGTGCCAAACACAGGGGCATTATTCTGACGCTTTTGGTGATAAGGTTAATTGCCTCATTTCTCATTTGTCGCCTCACTGCATAACGCGAATCCCGGATTAGGGAAGAACAAGCAGGCTTCCACCAAGGACGGGGGGTTTTGGCGGGTTTGCACCAATTCGACCAGGGGCTGCCTGGCTTGAGGTGGGCAGTAACAAACAAATAAGCACCCGGAGATGCCATCCCATGGTCAGAGACAATGCGTGGCGCTGGTGCTCTACACTAATCAAGCTGTGAGCTTATAACCCGTGGACTTGTTGTCTCCTATCGCCACGCATTGTCTCTGACGGTGGGAGGGCACCTCCGGATGTCCAATGGTTTACTACTGCCCGCCTCAGCATCACCTAAACATGGGATCGGATTTGCACTATACGATCGCCTCCATGGCCAGCTGATGGGTGAACCAGCTGGCATAAGCGCGCGACTGATGACTGTTCGCCTACAACTCGGAAGAGGTAAGTTTGCCGCATTTATAAGCACGTACGGTCTGACCATGTGTTATCCTGATGACATGCGTGATCAATTCTACACTCAGCTATCCTCCGTGATACGGCCTGTGCCGAGGAGCGACTAACTATTTCTGCTGGGTGATTTCAATGCGCGTGTTGGGCGTGGTGCATCGGTGTGGACAGATATCATCGCTCCGCATGGCATTGGTTCAACACATGCGAACGATGACAGGCTGCTCTCACTGTGTGCCACTCACAGCCTGACGACCACGAACACTCGGTTTACACTGTGTGCGAGTGGTATAGCAACTTGGACACACCCACGGTGCTGGGTAATGGCCATATTTCCCAAAAGCTACACTAGAATCAAGCAAAACCATGGACTTTTTGCTAGCCACCATTTGTTATATTTTACCGGTGCGCGCTACCTGTTTCCACTTCTTCGTCTCAGAAATAAAATACCTTGGTTCCATCACCAACAAAAATGACCGCCGTCCTGACCTTGCAAATGTGTGTGTAATCCGGGACATGCCCACTCCAAAGGATGTGTCATCCCTACGGTCGTTCCTCGTGTTAATGACTCACTACGTCACCTTCTTACCCGCCCTCCACAATCCCAGAGCACCATTGAATTGACTGCTTAAAAGGACAGCGTTTGGTCGTGGTCTCCAGGATGTGAACGCTCACCTAAAAGCAATGTTGGGTTCCGACCTCCTCATAACACATTTTGATCCCAAGCTACCGAGCGTAGTCACTGCAGACGCTTCTAGCTACGGCGTCGGTGCCGTCATCTCCCATCCGTTTCCAGATGGATCGAAGAAGGCGATCATAGATGCTTCTCGAGCCTTTACGCCAGCTGAGCAGAATTATGCCCAACTCAATAAGGAGACTTTGGCACTAGCGTTTGCCGTGAGAAAGTTCCATAAGATGGTCTATTGCCGCCATTTCAGCTCACTTACCGATCATAAGCCGTTACTCGCTATTTTCGACTCTAAGAAGAGTATGCTGACATATTCCGCCAGCAGATTGCAGCGTTGGGCAACCTTTCTATTGAACTATGACATTAACATCGGCAAGATTTCCTTCAGGCTGACGCCGTGTCCCGGTTAATGAGGGCAAATCAACAAGAGCAGAAGTTGCCATTATTGCAGGTCTCCATGGAATCGAATGTTCGTCCCCACCTGGCTGACGCTGTTCGTGCGGTTCCGGTCACTCTCCGGGACATTAAAAGAGAAAGGAGCATCGATCCTGTCTCCCAGGAAGTAACTAATTGTGTTCGCAGCCGCTGGCCCACGAGAGCACCAACTGGAGACCTACGACAGCTTTATCTTCGTCGAGTATCGTTCAGCAAATAGAGACGTTGGTTCAGCAGTGTCCCCGCTGCCGACAGGCCGCCAAGAACCCTCCACATGTCGCCCCACAACCGTGGACCCAATCTGATAAACCGTGGTCTCGCCTACTCGTCGATTGCCCAATCAACGGCATTATGTATCTCATCGTAATCAACTCAGTGTCCAAGTGGCCCGAAATCATTTCTGTCTCACATGCAACAACATCGTCCAACATCACTACCCTTCACAAAATTTTCAGCCAGCATGGGTTTCCAGATACCTTGGTTTCAGATAATTCAACCCAATTTACATATGCACTTTTCGAGGATTTCTGCCGTCGGAGTGTTATTAACCCTGTTGCACTCCACCTTATAACCCTCAATCAAACTATCAGGTCGAACGGGAAGGGAAGGGAACTACAGAAGAAAATATTCAGGATTTCCTTATGCTTTACAGGAACACTCCAAATCCGGCATCACCATATGGATACTCCCCTGCCGAATGCCTTATGGGCAGGAAACCATGCACCATCTTCGATGCAATGTTGCCGTCGGAGAAATCATCACCTGCCCCAGTGCACCCATCATAGAAAACATTCTCAATTTGTGTTTTGGTCTACGCTCGTGATTACAGGCAATGTCACCCAGCATGGGTCCCAGCAGTGGTAGCTGCTCGCCGTGGTTCTGTAGTGTAACGGTTGGGTGCGACACAAAAATCAACTTCGCCCACGCCATGAAGATTGCACAGCCACTGAAAAGCATTGGCATTCGAAGTACTGATAGACACGTTCGGGCTCATCACTAACCTCGTGACAGAGGCACCAAATATACCAACCGCACGGGTCTCCTTGCAACACAGATGGACCGACCGGA